AATTAATACGCTTTGGACATGATTCAAAAAATAAAATGCTCGATGAACTTATTGAGAAGAAATGCATATATTTATCCGATTGGAAGAATCTCTGTAATGATATTCGTAAAGCTGAATTGTTGCTATTCCAAGCTTATGGTAAAAAAGGTTCTATGTACCAGATTTTATCCATATTTGTTTAATTATATAGTGTAGCTAAAACTATTTATTTATATTTTAGAAGCAAAGCTCAAAGTTCTCGTCTTAGATTGTCCAGCACACCCTTTTTGTCGCGTGAGAGAAGTATTTGACTTGGATATTCTGTATAAGAAAGTGGCGATAGAAGAGTTTAAGTCATTTATTCAAGCTTTATGGGCAATCAGATGTGTATTATCTGATATTATTCATGACTGAAAAAATAGGTGAAAAACTGTTAAAAGATTATAATAAGATTTCTGGTTCAGGCCCATATGAAGTTGATTGTGGAGTACGAGGCTATCAATCACATCCTTCTCTATAATGAAAAGCATTTTTTTTAGCTACCTTAGAAGTGTGGAGTGCTTCTTAAATATAATCAGTATAATAAAATTTCTCATTATGATAATTCAAAGTTAGTCAAAATTAGTTTTTTGCACGATGTATATAACAAGAACCAACTCAAAATTGAGAATACTATTTTAGTATATTATCTAGATTCATTTAAATCATTTTTATAATAAATATAAATTCAAAATTTATATTAGTTTTAATTTAAAAAGATAAATTTTTTTTGGAATAAAAATTTTTATAATAAAGAATGGAGAGAAAAATGTTAAATGCTTAAGTACCGATAACAAGTGATTTAACTAAATAAATTGCTTAAAAACTAGTGCTCAATATTGAAAAGTCTAAGAAATAATTGCTGTGGAAAATTTTTACTCACAATCCTGACTACCGAAAAAATCTCATGAACTTATCAAATGCTATCAGCGCCTATCATCGAGTACCAAAGAATTTCTCATGAGTTATTGGAAAATCAACCGGAGCTTCCTCATCAAACCAGTATTGAGCCGTAAATATTCGGGCTTTTGCTATAAAAAATGACCATTTCGCAAGTCATTTCATAGCAAAATTCCATGAACAATATTCCTAAAGAAAAGGATATTACTATTTATAATGACATTATTAAATAATTAAAGACTTTAAAAAGTTACTTATCGATTGTGTTTTTAGCAATAGACCTCCATACTGGAATAAACGATAGCTCGATTGACATTTTGTACATTGCAGGAAAATTTTTTGTTTGGTTCGGCATGACAGAGTTGATGATATTTGATAAATTCGTGTGATTTATTCGTTGGTTAGGATTGATAGTGAAAATTATCATAGCAATTCTCTCTTGTACTGTCAATAATAAGCATTAGTATTAAGCCAATTTGATTAAAAAAATAAATAGCGTTTTAGCTTTTGAGTGGTTTGAGAAATTTTGAAATGATATCAAAGTCTATTTTTTAACCTTAAAATATTCAAAACGAATAGGAATGCTAATTGTCCGTTTGAAAAAATGACTAATGGGACATCTCAACAATTAAGCACGGATACCATTAATAGAATAGACGTCACAACTGATAATACTATATTCTCTAAACTTATTTGCTAAATGAGACTTTCTAAACTCCCAAACTCCTTCGCTAAATAAAGACTTTCTACATATTCAATAGATATAACCTCTGCATTTTCTTCTTCATAGTTTGAAACTGATGAATATTTTTTACATATAACAATATTTATGCTATTATTCAACTCGACATCTAATTCTGATTTTCTGTGTTAATTTCAATTGTCAATCTCTTGGACTCGTAGTGGACAATAGATTTATTAAATAGATGAAATGCGCTATTTGTTTCTATTTGTAAGGATTGAAATTCGAAAGTTGAATATAATGAATCTATATTTTCCATAGCCGAAGAGTCATCATCATGTCGCAAACTTATATGACCCTCATTTGAATTGGCAAAATAGCTTTATAAAATTGATAATAAGGTTGAATAGAGTGTGTTTTTGCTTTTTTATTTTATGTGGCGGGATTGGCTTAAGCTGGGATTCACGTGATCTGTGTCAATGGGATCGGTTTCACCGACAGTTATTTCACCGAATTTTGATTCTAACCAACACTAACTTTAAATCGAGCTACTCTAACTAGCGTTGACACCATCAAGACACCGTATTGTTCTGACATTTGTACAACCATTTACTAAATCTTCTAGTTCTTTCATTTTTCGATAGTTATGTTCTAATTTCTCTCTTCCTGGCTTCAGTTCCTGGACCTTAGACTTAAAGCACTTTACACTGTCTTTTAAATATTTTATTTTATGACTTATTTCGTTATCTTGGTCAACCTGATTTGATTCTGATTCATCAGAGACAAAATTCACAGAGGTATGAACTTCTTTATTATAATCGGGCAGTATTTGGTCTCTCGGATTTGTAATCTCTATTTTGATTAGTTCTTGATTTATACCTTCTTTTTCATTTCTTGAATCATTTAATTCGTTAACTTGAATGTTGTTTTTAGTACTATCATCAATCAGAACGATGTTATTTTTTCCACATTCAATCAAAAATTTGTGATTGCCCAGGATTTGTTCTTCATTGTTGTTGAATTGAAATTGGTTGTGGATTAATATTTTCGAATAAGAGGGTATTTTATTAATTTGCACAAGTGTGTTATTAGTTATATCGGTATATTTCTCATTGTCATCAATTTCGTTGTTGATAATTATGGAAATATCAAAACACAATAAATTTAAAAGCCGAAGTTGATTTATTGATTTCAAAAATCTTCTATTAACAAATCTACTAACTGACTCTTCGAAAAAAATGTTTAATTTGGTATTGTGAAATGGATCGTTAAAGTAATTGATTGAACCTGTCACTTTTGTCGAAATGGGAATAGAAAAGGACATATTACTATAACAGGGAATCTTATGATATTACTAATAATCTGGTTTCTATGCTTACGGATTGTTAAGATAAAGCAGAATATATTAAAGTACAATTTAATATTAAAGGTTAGGATTTGGCCAATCTGATATAAATGATCACAGAAAAAGGCTGAAATAACCATATTAACGTTTGCTCCAATGAACATTCTATAATTTTTTTGATGCTCGTAAGGTTGTCATTTTTGTTGAAAGAGATAAATTCTATAAAATGCATTGTGCCTTTATAAACCAAGGATTCTACATCAATAAATGGTTGGCATTTGTTTATTTCTCTATTATCGGAGTGAATAGATTCCGATTCGTAGATAGTTTTCTTAAATAATATCGAAAATCTGACAACAAGACTGGGAAACAGCAAGTGAGGTGAAATCAAATTATTATTTTTCAATAGTAAAATCAAAGATACGAAAATCAAAGAAGCAAAGATT